TGGCCAGGAGCCCACCCCCAACCGACCACCCCCCAGGCCCCGGCAGCCACCCCAGTCAGCGGGCTAACCACAGCAACCCGGAGCCTGACTCCGGGAGCCCGAACGGCCCCAGGGAAGCCGGAGTGCCAGCCCCGCCTCCAGAGCCCCCCCAAGCACCACGTCCGCCCGCAGTCCAGGCCCCACCAGACAGTCAGCCCCTTAAGAATTTTAATAACTGGCACTTACATTTAAGTCTGTGAGTAGGAGCAAATCTAAGAATTTTTCAGCACTTAAGTCTAAAAATCCACTCTAAGAAGTTTTATAAATACGGGCCCAGATCTGCCTTTAAGTGTAGCTTGTTTGGACATGCGAAAGCACATTATAATTTGTATGCAACAGCATATTTTTTCATTTTTTGTTTTACGTCGACTATGTAAGCATGGATCTCCATTTTTGTTTTAGATTTTATTTTATCATCTGACATTCCACACCTTCAGCCTCTCTAGATCGGTGTCTTCTTAATATTTTCTTTTGCATCATCCCTCTCCCCATGCATGGTTTCTTTGTATTTTTTTTAGATGTTTTTCTTGTGATTTTGAATCATACTTTTTTTCTGGTAGACAGCTTACCTGGAAGTCTGTAACTCATGTGTGCTGTGCTTTGAGAAGAAACTCCTGCTCTAATCAAAGTGTTGTTTTTCCCCCTTTTTTTTTCACACACTCTCTAATATTGTTTATATTCTTCCCATAATAGCTTCTTTGAAATTCATTCATCTTTATGGCAGCTTTCATTTCTAGTGTTGGTTTGATCGTTTTCTTTTTCCCCTCTATAAAGTTGAAACCCTGCTGTGTTTGTTCTCAGAGCTCCGTCTTTATGCTGCGGGTCTCAGTGTATCTCTTCAAGATTTGACCTTGGTTGTCAATTTTAGAGCTAAATAAATAAGATGAAGACAAATGCTGCATAAAAACTGTCTTTTAAAACTGTTCTCTAACAAGAAGCACATCATTAAATCAGTTGGGTTATTTAGTGTCATCTATAAATACAGTATGATGAGAAAAGTCGCGAACGCAGTCACAACTCTGTGTTGTCAGTTCATTCGAGAAGCGGGTACCTGCAGTCACCAAGTAGGAGTTTCTTATTTTGTAGGAGGAGTTGGCCCAAGACATGATTGGTCTGTTTGACTTTTGTAGGCATATTTAGCTCAGGACGTGATTGGTCAGATTGACGGTGGGGTTTGAAAAATCTGGGGGGCAGCGGGGAGTAGCTTGGTCAAATCGGGCAGGAAGAACCTATATTCTTTTAAATATTGAGATAAATTTTTGTCATAACTTTAAACAGGAAAGTGCTAGATGCACGAAATTTGAACGTTGTATATGTGGAGGGACATATAACAATTTGGCTTAAAACAGCCCTAACCAGTCTGTAAAAAGATTGCTAAAAATCAATATGATTATGAATATTAGTCATAATTTGAGACGTTTACATGTTCACAATAATTTTTATTTGAGACATTGTTTTGTTTTAAACTGTACATAGACAGTCAATAAATTTTATTATTTTACTATTATCATTACTTCCTCTTTTAAATTGCCCCACACCACACGTCAATCCAACCAGTCATGGTTAGGGCCAACTATGCTCACATCAAGATGTCCGCCAATCACGTGTAGAGCCAACTCTTTCCACAGGACAACATTTACTGCAAAGATCCCTACTTGGTTCAATCACTAATACCTGAGCAGCAGGTGCCTCCAGTGATGATTGTCAGTGCAAAGCAACGACGCTATAATCTGAAAGAAATGATCAGAACAACAATTCAGCCAAATTTCTGGAGTAAAATTGATTCACCTGTATACRATATTCATATTTTTTTATCTAATCCTACATCATTTTATAATCATTTCGTTTTGTTTATGAACAGATCATCACAAAACCAACTAAGCAAAGTCTTCAGTCTAGTCTTAAAAGTAGACAGAGTRTCAGTCTCACAGACAGAAACTGGAAGTTGGTTCCACTTGATACAGTGGGGTGCGAAAGTTTGGGCAGCCTTGTTAATTTTCCTGATTTACCTTTATACAGTGAACCCTTGCTATAACGCGGTTCACATTTCTCAGCCCTGCTGCTTCACAGATTTTTTTGTGCAGTTTTTTTTTCACAGTTCATTGTGTTCTTCGTCCTGATTGGCTACACTGTGTCTGTGCTCAACAGGCTATCAACATGTCAGAGCCTGTAGGATGTAGTACGGTAACTACTTCACGGATTGTTATTGGAACGCAACCCTTGCGAAAACCGAGGGTTCACTGTAAATCATTGATTGATTGGATTTTAAAAAAATCAGTTAAATATATCATATAGGGGACAAACACAGTGATATTTGAGAAGTGAAATGAAGTTGATATGATTTACAGAAAGTGTGCAATAATTGGTAAAACAAAATTAGGCAGGTGCATAAATTTGAGCACCAAGAAAAAAACCTTAACTCAATATTTAGTAGATCCTCCTTTCACAGAAATAACAGCCTCTAAACGCTTTCTATAGCTTCTAATGAGAGTCTGGATTGTGGCTGAAGGTATTTTAGACCATTCTTCTTTACAAAACATCTCTAGTTCATTCAGGTTTGATGGTCTCTGAGAATGGACAGCTCTCTTTAAGTAACACCACAGATTTTCAAAAATATTTAGGTCTGGGGACTGAGATGGCCATTCCAGAATGTTGTACTTGTTCCTCTGCATGAAGGCCTTAGTAGATTTTGAGCAGTGTTTAGGGTGGTTGTCTTGTTGGAAGATCCAGCCCCGGCTTCAGCAGCTTCAGCTTTGTCACTGATTCCTGGACATTGGTCTCCAGAATCTGCTGATATTGACTGGAATCCATGCGTCCCTTAACTTTAACAAGATTCCCAGTCCCTGTACTGGCCACACAGCCCCACAGCATGATGGAACCACCACCACATTTTACTGTAGGTAGCAGGTGTTTTTCTTGGAGTGCTGTGTTCTTTTTCCTCCATGCATAACGGCCCTTGTTCTGCCCAAATAACTCTATTTTAGTTTCATTAGTCCACAGCACCTTATTCCAAAATGAAGTTGGATGTCCAAATGTGCTTTAGCATACCTCAAGCAGCTTTGTTTGTGATGTGGGCGGAGAAAAGGCTTCCTCTGCATCACTCTCCCATACAGCATCTCCTTGTGTWAAGTGTGCTGAATAGTTGAACAATGCACAGTGACTCCATCAGCAGCAAGATGATGTTGTAGGTCTTTGGTGCTGGTCTGTGGGTTGACTCTGACTGTTCTCAACATCCTTCACTTCTGTTTATTCCAGATTTTTCTTGGTCTGCCACTTGGAGCCTACACTTGAACTGTGCCTGTGGTCCTCCATTTTCTCACAATGTTTCTCACAGTGGAGACTGAAAGCTGAAATCTCTGAGATAGCTTTCTGTATCCTTCCTCTAAACCATGACGGTGAACAGTCTTTGTTTTCAGCTCATTTGAAAGTTGTTTTGAGACTCCCATGCTGCCACTCTTTAAAGAAGATGCAAACAGGAGAAAAACGTACAACTGCCCTCCTTAAATACCCTTTCACATAATTGGAGTCACTTGTGTACGGAGGTCAAGGGCACTGAACTTACCAAACCAAATTTAAGTTCCAATAATTAATTCTAAATGTTTTGAAATCATTAAAATGACAACAGTGCCCAAATTTATGCACCTGACTAATTTTGTTTAACCAATTATTGCACACTTTCTGTAAATCATATAAACTTCACTTCACTTCTCAAATATCACTGTGTTTGTCCCCCATATAATATATTTACTGATTTGTTTTAAATCCAAACAATCAATGATTTATAGAGGTAAATCAGGAAAATTAACAAGGCTGCCTAAACTTTCGCACCCCACTGTAACTGAAAGCTCTGCCTCCCATTCTAGTTTTAGAAACTCGAGGAACCACAAGTAAACCTGTAGTCTGAGAGTGAAGTGCTCTGTTAAGAAAATATGGGACAATAAGGTCTTTAACATAAGATAGAGCTTGGTTGTTAAGAGCTTTGTATGTTAGAAGTAAGATTTTAAATTCTATTCTGAATTTGACAGGGAGCCAGTGGTGAAAATCTAAAATTGGAGAAATATGATCTCTGCTTCCAACTCTCTTTAGAACTTTAGAAGCAGCATTTAACTGAAGACTTTTCAAAGAGTTTTTTGGATGCCTAGATAAATGCATGGATCTGTTTTTATTTTGTCATTTTGGGATAAGATGTTTCTAATTTTAGTAATATTACGCAGGTGAAGAAAGCTGTCCTGGTAACATTTTTAATGTGGAGGTTAAAAGACATTCTGATCAAAAATGGCACCAAGGTTCTTTAGAAGAACTGGAGGCCAAATGTATTTCACAGATAAGGTTGATTGACACGTCAGCTAACACATTAATTTACAAATTTTAACTTTCATCCACTTTGATTGTAGCTCATAAAAAATTATTTGCTTCAGGCACCAAAAAAAAAAATAAAAAAATAAAAATACCCCCAAAAAAAAAACCTACCAAAGTACAGCTGGAGCATCAAAGATAGGTACATTCGCTTTCATGTTAGTGACACATCCTTTGTTTTTAGTTTGTCATTTTTTCATGTAGAAGCTCTTTTACTCATATTATTATCATGTCCATCCACCAGTGCCCTTGCTGGACCACCTGTGCTCAGCCTGGCTTTACCCAGATGAAGCGCTGAAGACTTCACTCGTGTTTATATGGCTTCAGCTGCTGGGGACATCTGGAGATGCAGCAGCCCAGTCCCTGCCTGTTGTCATTAGGGACCGAGTGTGTAGGCTGCTACTACAGACCCTGCAGACCTTTGCCAGTGCTGGCTCAGGACAGCTCATTAAAAACTGTGCTGGTGAGAAAAAAGATCCCTCTTTTCTCAGTTCCTTATTTCCTTGTTGGCCACAGTATGTACTTCCCAAAAAAGGTTTTGTATCAGAAAAAATATTTCAATATTGAAGCACTTAGGAGGTATGCGTATTGAAGGTTTGCAAGATTATTTTGTACCACAAAGTAAGATTTTTCCAAAATGTTACTACCAGTTTTTAAATAATTATGGCTATTTTGTGTAAAGTTAAAATTAGCAACTTTTCTTTCCTTGAAAGGAATTTTTAATAATGGAATTTTTAGGTTTTTCTGTTTTTTTTTTTCTCCTTTTCGCACAAATGAGACTAATGCTTCATATTAAGTGGAGTGAGATTGATTCTTCCACATTTACACTAAAGGCTTACACTCATGGAGCTCTGTAATGTTTGTTTTGCTTACATGTGTGAAATGTTAGCTTTATGGAATGAAACCTTAGACTTAATACTTAGGTGAGAGCAGAAAAGGAAAAGGTTTTAATAAATTTGCGGCTATATCTATAAAACAAAATCTCTCAACCAAACATTTGGAAAAAAACAAAAAATATCTTATGTCAAATGCCTTTTTTGTTTAAAAGTAAGGGAAGTGGTTTTGTTTTCTAGATGCTCCTGTCTTTAAATGGAAAAGAGGAGGGATTTGCCTAAGTTGAAAGTGTCTTTCTATAGGAYGTTTGAATAATAAGACAAGTTATCTTGTGTTTTGGTGATAACAAGACTGGAGGTACGTTACATTTGTAATATCAGAGTTATTTTAGGAGACAGTTGGGAAGAATAGATGACATGGAATAGAGGTAAATGGCGGTTTATATCAGATTTTGGAAGCAGTTTAGATATTGATGTAATCAGTGATGTTTTTCCTTGCTGCCATGTTAAATATTAAAGAAAACAATAACTGTTTGCTTTTAAAACTGCATCAGTTCTCCTTATCACCAAACATGAAGTTTTTTTTAACCTGGAAGAATGACTTACTGAAAAACAACCAAAAAATAAAAAACACCTGTTGAATTATTTTTTCAAAAGCAAAAGCGTTTTGCAGTTTTAACATTTACTATATAATTCTATTGCTCATTTTAAATACAGTGAAATACAGGGTTAGGACAATTTACAAAAAATCTGATCCTTTTTTTTCCATAGTAAAATTCAGAAATTATGACTTTAATTTCTGTAAACTTTAATCACCTTGAAAATATCATCACCAAGAGTCTCAGGTATTTGAATTGGCTGGATTTTATTTCACCTGGATATTATTTCAGATTATATGAATATTAAATAAATATTACATGAATAATTCATATTATTCTCTGCTAGAATTGTATTTATAACCATTATGGTTTATTTTGATCTGGTCATAAATTTGCCATGTCTAATTTTAAACTTAGCATACTAAATAGCTGCTCTGTGGAGAGGTCTTACTTTTATTTTTATTTTATTCAAATTACATAACAGTTTTTCTGCCTTTTGAAGGTTACAGATTTATGCACATTATGAAAATTTTCCACAGAAGCTTTTATTCTAAAAAGCGAAAGCTTAAAGTAGTTGATGTGATATTGGAAACATATAAATGTGCAATTTTATAAAAATTTATATTTAAGGGGAGTATTCATTGTGGTGCCTCACTATGCTGTTTTTAAATGAATTTCATTAGGGCTTTAGTTTTGGAATATAAAGTTATTTATTTAAATCACCCACTTGGTTGTGGAGCCTTACTTGTATTCGTTTTTATTTGTCACAACCAATCACAGCTTTAAACAGCAAAAAAGGAGTTTTCTTGTGCATCTTATAACAAATTTTTAATCTCTTAAATAAATTCAAAATATTGGTGACTCTGTGAATTTTCTTACCACTGGGAAGAGTATAAAATGTAATCACTGATTGCATAAAATGTGTAAATACTGTAGTTTCTTTTTTCTGTGTGTTTTTTAACAACCTGTCTATCTTCTGTTAGGTCTCCTCTGGCAGCTGGTCCGGTTGGATGGGGCCGTGCCAGTTCTAATGAACAGCTCAGGCAGTCAGGTCATCTGTGATGAGAATCAAGACAGCCTCGCCAACAATAGCCAGATTCTCGTCCAAAACCAGGAGCAACAGCCTGCTGACCACTGCCTCCTGCCCCTCCTGCTGAAAACGGTCTCTGTCTAAACATCCTGTTCCCACTCCCAAGACCTGAACTGTCACACGGGTGAAAATCATAACAAAATGCTCTTGTCCTGGATTAATGTGCCTTTCAACAGGGCTTTAGTTGGGGTTTGACCCCAGACAAATATTTGTGTTTCATGTCTGGGAAATCAATGAACAGATTACATTTTGTTGGATTTTCTCAGTGACGCCTCAAAGTAGAGCTCAACTCATGACGTTAGTGGATTTGTTTCAGTCACCACTGGATGGTTTGTTGAAATGAAATTAAAGTAAAGCTAATGTACCTCGCTCAGTAAGAACCTTGGCAGGATTTAACTGTCAGGTGTTGTATTAATTAACTGTAGTTTTCTAACAATTTCCTCAAAATGTGTTTTAGTTGCTGCTGAGTGGTGATGAGACGTTGCAGGTGACCAGTGCTAAGTGCATTGCTGCTATTTTGGTTCATTCTCCCAGTCAGTACTGCTCTGTCTTCATCAAGGCTGACTTACCCGGTAACACACACACACACACACACACACACACACACACACACACAC